TTATAATATTTATCATATTCTGAACTTTCGGAATTTGTGTTTCATGTCGCATTAATACTGCCATAATTTCTTCATCGCTAAAACTGCTCGAATTATTTAACAGTTCATCTAATAATAATATTTTAGCTGCCATATTTTTTCATTGGAATACTCAAATTTGCACTGAACTGCACTGTCGAAAATCTCAGTGCAATTCAGTGCCTTCTGCACTAGTGCAATGTATTTCAACCGAACGTACAAATAACACTGCACTGGGATAATGCAGTTCAGTCGAACACGTTTTCACTAGCACATACTTTTAGTGCACTATCAACCGAATACACATAAAATTCTGAACCAGTACAGGGCAAGCCAATCGAATACTAAGCACTGAAAGAGTGCGCACTCAGTGCGCGCTAGTGCATCCAATCGAATTCGCCATGAGAGAGGCAATGCCGACGATTTTCGTGGGACGCTTTTTCAGATCCGTAAAGTTAGCCGGACCACTTCAACTTTTTAATAATTAAAATTATCTAATCGTTTGGTGGTCGTTTGGTGATGATTGGTAGCCTAATTAAAACGTTTGGTGGTCAATCGTTTTTTTAAAATTAAATAATTAAAATATTGGTATAAAGTTAGCCGAACATTTTTAATTATTAGTCTAATCGATTAAATCAGGACTTATTCGATGCAGAATCGTAAGGTGGTCACAAATCCTTTATTTACAACGTTTGGTGGTCCATAATTTATCCAAAAAGTAAAAAAAAACCATGTGTGGTTAGGTAGTGGGGATGGCTAACTGGAAGCTGTAAAGTTGTAACGGGTGTACTTTTTATGAGCTCGCGATGTAAATAAATTTATAAAGAACTGTTAATTTATTAGGCCTCTATCGGTGCGGAATGATATATTATTTACTTTCTATACCCGTATTCAAGTTCTTGTCATGAGCGTATATAAAGCCTGCAAAATGCGATTAATGACATTTTAATTATTTTTATCAGTTTAGGCTGCCTCCCCATGCGGCGTAAGATACGTACGCGCCACCGCCGCGTAACTTGCGCTAAACATGTCAGCCAATCAAATGGTCTTTGCTACAATACGCAAATCCACCTAGTTATTTGACGCGTTTTACGCTATTGCCGATACGCCAAATCCAATTTTTCGCGTAAACCGGTGATGCATGTGTATTAGTGACGTGTGTGTATTTGTGGACGATCATCGAGAAACATTCGGCTGTGAGACCAAAGGTTGGAAAAAATGGATCAAATTCGGGTAAGATAATAAATTCTTCTAATAAATTCTATATAAATCTTGTAAACATAATCCATTCAATACTTGAACGTAATTTAGTACATCGCTTGCACAGTATGACGAAATAATTTCAAGGTTATGCCCGATAATGATATTATTCTGTCATTTGCATGTCTGGGCTAGTTTCAACAGCCTGCTGCGGCTTATTATCTTCATTTACATATTTCCTTTTTTAATACAGCACAAATGTGGGTACTGTGGGTGGATTTTCCGCTTCACTACAAATTTTATTGATCATGACTGCTTCAAACATTATATCGAAGGTGTAGACCACATCAGCGTTGACGAAAACTATGTCGTGACAATAGGTATAATTGCTGTATTGCTTTTCACGTTCATTTCGTTCTATTAAATAAATTGTTCAAGACTGAAACATTTACTTTAATCGATAAATTCAAACTGTAAATTCAACCGACAAATCTGAACGGTAAGAGTCGCAATCAAAACACGAGCGAGAATAAACGTCGCGATCAGCCGATCGGCGCGTGATCGCGTGATCAAAACAAAGAAAAAGTGTGACAAACACCTCGATTCTCGAACATTCGGTGCCGAAAATCTCCTATTATGGAAATCGGTCGACCGCGACTAAACACCTGATTCGAGAACGTTCGATACCGAAAAACTTGTTATTCACATCGGCAGAGCGCGAGTTTCCGCGGTCGGTCGATTTAGTCTGCCTACGACAACGATTCGAGCCGGTCGAAATTCATCGCCTTTTCGCATTCGCATTTCGCTTATTCTCGCTCGTGTCGCGTACGCAGTAGGCTTACTCGTCTCATATTCGGTCCGAATTGTCTCGCATAATATCGCATTCATATTCTCGCGGCGAGCAATTTGGTCACATCTCAATTCGTTTTCTTTCATTATTTAGTGCTCAGATATTGTAAAAGTTTTGTTTGGAGTTCGAGAGTCGACGCTCGTTATCAGCATCGCGAATGTTCTCTACCTCGCGCTAAATTCCATCCAGCGTTCGCGGTCAAGATTTCCGTTTTCGCGAGAGTTTCTAGCAAGAAGCTCTTAATCAAGATTTCCGAACCGCGAAAAAAGGGCAGTCATTAACAGGACATTTTGAAGATTTCCGTCGGAATCGCGGAATACGTGCCGTCGCTCGCTCCTATTATTCAAAATAAAAGGAACATTACTAACAATCTGCACTCGATTCTTTTCTCAATCTCCTTATCCTCCAACGGATCTACGGATTCGCGTTACACACCGCTTCTCGCTCATCTCTGAGCGTTTCTTAAGATTCGGGCGATCTCGTCGAGATCGACTCCCGAACATAAATTAAATAATATAATTATTTAACAGTCGAAAAGAACCCAAAGTTGTTGACAAAAAAGAAAATTTGAATGAACTGTTGATTGAAGCAGTTAGAAGCAAACGTGGGCTTTACGACTTTCGTGTACCTGCTTCGGAGAGAACCATGTTGCGCAAAAATGCATTATGGGTGGAAGTTTCAAACATATTAGGAGGTACATTTCATCATCTGTAGAAGGACCTTACTCTTATTTTGTCGTTTATAGTAAATGAGCTTTAAAATTAAATTATTTTTCAAGGATCCCTCAGTTCAGAAGAGGCTAAGGCTCGATGGAAATATCTACGAGACAACTACATAAAAGCCCGCAAAAAGGTTCGGGCGTACGTGCCCAGCGGATCGGCAGGTACTGCTGCTAATGTCATTACCGAGAATAAGTCAAGGTTTCAATATTATGAACTTATGAGATTCCTGAACGATTCATTGCAGACACGGCCGTAAGTTCTTACTCTTTAACATTCACATGTACATATATCACTCCTTTTGTTTGGTCAGAAATTGAAAAGAGTTTGTCACATGTGTAACCTATTCATTAATATATTCCAGGACAGTAAGTTCGTTGACAGATTCCAGTGCTAAAAGTGAAGTAGATACTTCACTTGACACAGGAAACGAGCAACACGAGGGTAATACCTTAGCTAAGCCTTCGACGACGCTTCAGATTTCGGCTATCAACAATTCTCCACAGACACCGGCATTTTCTTATATTCCTTCACGGACGTCGACACCCACAAATATTTCTTCACAGACGCTTGATTCCATCGACGTTCTTTCACGAACCCCATCACCCACGACAGATTTTTCATGGAAATCAACTCAAAGAAGAGTACCTACACGGACACGAGCCACAGGATCGAAACGTTTGTTTATTTATATTTTCATCTGTTAAAGTTCCTTTTAACCCTTTTGTTTTAACAGCCGTCTCTGCCGCGAAATGCATTATACGATACGATCCGCGCGCATACTTCAAAGTTATTATGCCTAAATCATATTTGATTGTTTAATATATTGTTATTCTTTCTAATAAAAAAAAGAGCATCGAGCTTGAAGTAAATAAAAGATAAATAAGCTTTCTCAAGTGCTGCAATGCTGATAAGATGTATATTGTATGCTTATTATTTCAAAATGTGCGCGCTATGCGTCGGGCGACTGTAGTCGCCCGTAGTATAAGGAGGTCGCTTCGTATCTTTTTTCTGACGATTTAATCGACCACATCGAGGGTACGGTCGCATCATATACCGCTTCAGAGCGAATGCCTCATCTGCCACTAATACATATGGTAAAGGGAGCCCGCTAGGTTCCACTGCACTCTGTTGCGGCAAATTTATTTCATTTCTTTCAAATCGTTGACCAAACATTGAGTTCGCAAAGATACCTCCATCACTCTGTTTACCCTTGGCTCCAATGTCGACTAGTGTGAAGCAGTAATTGGCGTCCAAAACTGCTAACAAATTTATACTATGAGTCCCTTTATAGTTATAATATACTGACCCACTGTGAGGTGGTGCCTGAAAGACAAACAGAAAAGTTTAATTGTCAGAGATTAATCTTTTAGCACTTCTCAATACAAATAAATAGAAAATAAATTCTGAAAAAGAACTCACCTGAATCACAACGTGCTTCCCATCTATCGCACCTATACAATGCGGGAAATTCCATTTTTCCTTAAACTCATCCGCGATTCTCAACCAACTTTCTTTGTTTGTCGGTGGCATTACAGATTCGTGGAGAGAATTCCACAATACCTCGCATGTCTCAGATACTATTTTTGGAACAGTGCTTATTCCAATCCTAAATGCATAAGATATTGAGGCCATACTGTCACCGGAGGCTAAGTAACGCAAACATACTAGAAGCCGTGCACGTGCCGGTATTGGATCTCGAACAACAGTCTGTTTTTCAAGGAGAGGCCCAACAATATTCAGCAATTGATCAAACATTTCTATAGACATTCTACAGTAATTGTAGAACATTTCCAAGCCTTGTAGCTCCATTTCTTTGACCAAATTGTCATTGACTCCTTGCATATGTCTTCGCAATTGTGTGAATATTGGGCGAACCCATATTCTCTGACTATGTTCTTCTTCACGCTTCACTAGAAGTTTCCATAGTGCAATGAGTTCCAATATATTCCGTTTTCCAACTTTCCGGCGTTGAAGCGTTTGTTTTGTCTTCCTCCACTTCTGCAATCGTATGCCAATAATCGCTAATATGTGATTAGAATCCATATTCAAGAGATCCCATGAACTCTCGAAAAACGAGTATTTCAAATATACTTATAATCTAATAAAGATTTAAAAAATAAATAATTTAGGTTCTTTTAGGGCAGAGGGACTAAATGCACGTGACAAAAATAATGAAAAAATTACCTTCTTTACCTTCAAAATTTCCAGTAGGCAACGAAAAAGATTAAATGTAACGACTCCGAGTTTAACAACAGATTATGCTATTATTTATTGCAATCTTAACCATGCATACGACTACATACATTGCGCTTCCACACATTCATACATGCAAAGTACCCCATTTTCATGGCGCGTATTTAGCAATACATCTAAATAATAACAACCAATCGAGAATCCATTTAGTATTTCTGCTCTGTTGTACAACAGAAGGCCTGATCTCTTATTGGTTAAGCTTGTTACGCTTTACGCAAAATTTTACGAAATATGCTCCATGGCGACTTTTTAAATGGCGTAAGTTTTGGCATATTACTAGAATATGCAGGTTACGCGGCGGTGGCGCGTACGTATCTTACACCGCATGGGGAGGCAGCCTGATACTTCGTGTATGATATCTACGGGATAGAGAAATTGCACGATTGTCAATTAATAAATTTTCTAATTATCCACTCGGTTTCCAAACTTTTAGTTTAATATTCTGAGTCCTTTGTTAGAATTCAGAAATTAAGCTGATAAAAATAGATATTATGTCTCTAGTACAGGATACAGGATGTGACAACGCTTGCCGCGTCGCCGCATCCTGTGTGTAGGAGCCATTACACATTTTTAATCTTGTTAACCGTTAAGCGCTTTGCCATCTTTATATTTGCCTGTAACAGAAACTTGATTACGAGATAGATATGTCATATAGGTAAACGGAAGAACTGTAACTTGATACAGCATATCTTAATATTGCTGTAATTGCGCATGCTTAATTTTTGCAGCAGTTCTGTCGTTACGCCGTGCTTGCAGATGAACTCGATTTCTAACGATATTCTGCCGATATAGAATGATGTGTCATGTTATGTTCAGTTTTTATTTAGCTTCTGTTGACATATTGTGCCAACACGCAATGCTTTAAATCTACTATTTTTATGCCAAGAACTTCTGCTTAAATTTTGCAGCATTTTTTCTAGCATATACTTAATGATGCAGAAATTGCTTGTATTCTATTGCATTTCTGCCGACACTAATTGAAATGGCAAATCATGCGCGGCTGCTGCCAGAGTTCTACCGATATAATACACATATACAGGGTGTATATGAAATGATGCACTAAACTTTAGGAGCGTATTCTAGAGATCAAAATAAGCCTTTTTTATCTTATGGATATGGGTCCGCAAATGAACCCCCCTCCGAGCTAAAATTCGAAAATGTGTGAAGTTCATTGTTAAGAACTTACGGCTGAAGTACGAACATTTTCTGCTTTCAATTTGACTGCGGTTATTCGGCGATATAATTTTTTTTTCTGAAATACAGCCAATTTTTAATTTTTTCCCCAAACTTTAGGGGCCTCTAGCTCGGAGGAGGGTTCATTTGCGGACCCATGTTCATAGGAAAAAAAGTCTTATTTTGACCTCTAGAATATGCTCTTAAAGTTTAGTGCATCATTTCAGATACACCCTGTATAATGCATAATTTACGATACGTGATCGGGCAAACTTGGCTATCTGGGAGTGTATCAAAAAAATAAAAATACAGTTGTGTATCATTGTGAACCATCTCTATGAGTTTTGATGATTTCATTCTTTTTTATATTTCTTTATTGTTATCAACTATTGCTTTTCTATGTAGATACAAATGGTTTAATGACTTCAGAATTAATCTAATGCATAATTTTATATACGTTATTACTATGAGAATGTTGTCAGCTACCAAAGTTGCATCGTACATCATGACACGATATATGTATACATATATATCATACTTATACAGAGTGTATCCTAAAAAGTGGGAGGTATTGCAATGGGGGATTCAGGACACAAAAATAAGAGAAGAAGTTCATATAAACATATGTCCGATATGACCTTGTTTTCAAATTATATCTTGTTTTATTTTCCAATAGAGTTAAGATAGTATACTTGGATATCGGTTTGCTGTTTATGTACAAGATTTAAAGGACTTAAGGTCTTGTTAATTTGTAAACGCGTATTATTTGTATTGTAAGTAGTACGGTTTGTATCTTGTGCTCAGTGAAAGTAACGTATTCGTATCGTATGTTAGCGTTATTAACGCAATAGTCTACATTTAAAAAAATTATGGCTTGGTCAAACAATTAAATGGCAGACATACATCTCATATACGGATTTTCCGAAGGTAATGCAATCAGAATTAAACTTTTGTATGGAAAAAAGTTGGAAATATTGGAAAATAAAACAGACTGTAACTCGGAAACAAGGTCATATCGGACATATGTTTATATGAATTTTTTCTCTTATTTTTGTGTCCTGAATCTCTCATTGCAATACTTCCCACTTTTTAGGATACACCCTGTATACAGGATGAGGCATCTAAGATAGGCCACCCGAATAACTCCCACAGTTTTGGAGATAGGAGAAAATGTTTGAAATAAAAGTTGTATAGTATCGAGGGAAAAATCTTGTGGAACTGAACATTTTTTTTAGGTGGAGGCGCTTAGGAGATTTGAAGGTCATTTTCATTTTTTTAAATGGAACCTAAAAAAAAATGTTCACTTCCACAAGATTTCCCCCTCGATACCATACAACTTTTATTTCAAACATTTTCTTCTATCTCCAAAACTGTGGGAATTATTCGGGTGGCCTGTCTTAGATGCCTCACCCTGTATAATCAAATATATAAATATTTATGCAAACCAAAATTTTCCCGTTAGATTAAAATTATATTTGATCTTATATAGTTTTATATAGTTATATATAATGCTATATATAATTGTATATAATTTTATACAATTGAATATAACATATCATATTATATACAGGGTGTGTCAAAAGTCTGGATACACTCAAATATCTCGTAAACGTTGCATTTTAGAGAAAAATATTTCAGACAAAAGTTGTAAGGCTTAAAAAGACGCATTCAACGGTAATAGCTGTTTGACCTTGGATGGCGTTGCAAAGGTCAGATCAAGGTCAAATTGAAATTTTTAAATGGAATCCCTTATTTTTTATTGCATATTTTTATAGCTGATGTTGAGATGTTTTCAAAACACTTATTACAAATCCTTTTTCGATGAAAACTTTATTATCATTGATTGGCTCACTGTCAAACTGTACAGGGTCAACAGTTTGAACATTTATTGTAAACGCACACACTTACTCACTCACTAACTCATTCACGCATTCATTTACTCGATAGCTCGCTCGATCATTCGCTTACTCACACACTCACACACACATTGTAAACGCACTCACTTACTCACTCACTACTCACTTACTAACTTGTTTATTCATTAATTCACTCGCTGGCTCACACACACACACACACACACACACATTGTAAACGCACTCACTTACTCATTCACTACTCACTTACTAACTTATTTACTCATTCATTCACTCACTCGCTCACTCATACACTCACACACACACTCACTCACTTACTCATTCCCTCCCTCCTTCCCTAACTCATTAACTCACTCGCTAGCTCGCTCAATTATTTACACACGTGCATTTAAACACAAACACACACACACAC